GAGAGAGCGCACACCCATTTGAGAAACATTGTACGTATCCCGTCGAAGTCCGCGCATCTCTTGCAGCACTTGATACTCTGTCAAATTAAAAATTTCTTCAAGCAACTTCTGATCCTGTACGTAAGTCTTGGGCTCCACTAAAAATACTTCCATCGTCACATTGTATCTTTCATCGACAACTGCGCTGGGGCCGATATGCCTCCGAAGAAAATCATTCAGCTTCATGTAATTGCCGCGGGCCTCTCCCCCCAGCAGTACATCTTCCACCAAACTGAAAAGGCCCCACTGTGGTCGCCGCGTTTCCCCCACTCTTCTGCGAGGCACAGCGGGTTGGCCACTGTCGCCGTCAGACTCCGCCCTCGCTCGCGCCCGACGTCCCTGCGGCACCGTAGACGCGGAACTCGTCTCATTATCGTCATTTCCTTCCCCGTGACGTTCGGACATTCTTTCCGCTGTCTTCGTAGTCGGTTTCACTTGGAGCTGTGACCCAGCAGACAATCAAAAGAAGGACGAGAGAAGAGAACAATAGGCACAGAAATGACCGACAAGCACAAAAAAAACGCGTCATCCACGCGGTGCGGGGCACAGCGTGCAACGCACACCAAATGCAAGAGGGAATGATCTTATCGCTCCTGACACACACAAATGGGAAGAAAATGCGTCGCAGTGAAGACCACACAGAAACCCAAAATCTTACACGCCACAACCATGGTGCATCATGGTAGCCTCCCACTCAAGGTACAGCGCGCCGTGTGCCCAAAACGCCGTCACGGAATCGGCGAAAGTGTGGCGTTAATAAACGGATCTGGGCGCACAAGAGGCGTCAGACCGCCGAGGAAGCGCACGTCGCCCGGCGAAGACACCCCGATGGGATCACCACCGGTTGGACATCGCCGTCAAACACGCGGTTTTTGGCGCCACGGCGATGACGGACGAACCGGAGATCGCGAAAGCCAGCCAACGCGAACCGTGCCATGAGACATGTCGGCGTCTACTCCACCGCCCGGCTCTGCAGGCGCCTGGGCAAAAACACGGCGTGAACATCGGAGAAGCGAGGATGCCGTGCTGCACGAAAATGTTGGCGCGGTTTTTCATCGGGATGGGAAGGCGCTTCCCAAACAGCACTACCACGCGGCGAGAAGGCACAAAGCCCCCCACAGCGGCGGCACAACGTCGGTGCTCCTGGCCGGTCCCCCTCCCTCCCTTTCCTTGTTTGTGGGCTGCATGGTTTACTGATTTGTTGGTTTTTGTTTGTTCTCGGCAGCGACGGGTTGCCGCGCTGGCCCGGGGACGGGCGCGCGGCGTGTGTGTGCGTTTCGCGCCTTCCACCGCGGCTTTCTCTCCGGAGCCGAGGCTCTCCTCCACGTCCCCGCTTCGCGGGTGGACGCGCTCTGCGATTGTGGGCGTCGTGCGGGCCATTGCGCTCGTTTAAGAAAACACGAGTGGAAAAAAGAAAATTCCGCGTTTGCCTTCCGCGCCGCCGGTTAAGGCGGGGCTGCGCCACTCCTAAATTCACGCGAGCCAAGGGGGTAGAAGAATAAGAAGAAGTCCCACCGCCACCGTCCCTACTGACTTCACATCGGTGCCGCCAGTGACGGCGGAGTGAAAGAGGTGTAAGGAGGGGATGAACGCTGAGCAGAAAAAAAAAGTAAAAAAAGCGGTGGGGAAAACCCCGCACACCTCACGCGTTCCCTTCGTGCTGTTTTTTCTTCTTCGTCCGCTCAAAAAAGACAGAAACGCCGGACACGCTGACTACTGCGCCGGACGCCTCGTCGTACTCCATCCAATCCTCGCTCAGGTCCACCCCGTCAAACGACGACCCCTCCGCCTCGACGACCCAGTTGCCGTCCAGCTCGAGTTCCTTCGGGGACCCGCCCCGCACCTCGACCAGCAGCAGGCCGTTGTCGCCGTCCGGGGTGAACCGGCCGTAGCTCTCCGGGTCAATGGACGCCGTCAGGACTCCCTTGCAGAAGGCGCATTTGAAGACTGCGTTGCGCGTGCCGCCGCCACCGCTGTCACGCTCCTCCGCCTCGTCCACGTAGACAAAATGAGGGCTGGTCTCCCGACAGCTGTCGCACTCAAACTTCATCCCCCAAACGCGTGGCCGAGCGGGTCGAATAGAAAGAACCCCTTCCGTTTCCGCGCGGAGAAATACTCGGAAAAACGGCATTCCTGTTTGTTAAGCCTCCTCCCCCCTCCCTTTTTTGTGTGTGTGTGATGCGTTTGTTTTTTTTTATTTATGTGCGTCGTGCCTCCTTTTCGTGCTCCTCCGCAACACGCACGCACAAGCATGGAAGAGGGCGAAAAAAAAAAAAAAAAAAAAAAGTGCAAACGAATAAATCAACGCGAAAGTAGATAAGAGAGAATTACATACCACTTCCCCTCCGCACACACACACACACACACACACACACACACACACAAACCTCTCTTCTTCGATTTTGATTTTTTGATCGTAGTACCTCTTGACCCGCCTTTCAACCCCCCTCTCACCTTCCCCCACACCTTCGACGGGACGGTCCAAACATCAAGTCACAAAAAGGGGCGTTGCACATGCATCCATCATCCGACGCCTCATGCACCACGCAAATGCTGCATGCAGTACTCTTCAATGATCCCTGCGCACGCAAGTGCGAACGTTCTAGCCGTGAAAGGGTAATAGGATTCGGGGGCATTAAAGACAACGCAGTTGGCAGCAATATGCCACACAGCCTGCTCAAGCTCCTGAAGGGTCCGAATCACACCCGCATCGTCGTCGCCGCTTTCTCTTGATACCTTTTTACGCATCGACTCATTTCTTTCCACAACCGAAGCCGCCGTCACACGTCCCCGCTTCCGTGTTGTTAAATTTCCCCCGTCCACTGTCATTTCCGTCACGGACGCCCTCTTCTCCGGCTGGCGTGGCTCGTAGTCTCTTCGGGATGCCAAGATCCTCCTTTTGATGCACATCAGCGAAAGCGGGTGCATGACAACGGTGCCGTACGGGCCTGAGCGAGCCCCGTTAAACTCCATGATTGTCGAGGGATGCACCGGTGCCAAAAATACCCCGGCGCCCTCCACCAGTGAGAATCTCTGCACGAGGGCAATGAGAACATCGGGACTGATGGGCTCCTGCCGCAAACGGTGCCAATGCTCACGCTGCTCTGGCGTTAAATGACGCAGCGCCGCCCCTCCCGCAAAGCTCCCGTCGTCTACACCACGTCCCCCACCCTTCGGCGACGGAAGAAACAAATTAGCTAAAGACCCACATTCCGCACTGCCGCTGCTTGAATAAACAGCGACGCCCGCGGGAGCAGACGGCGTGAGCATTCCCGCACCACGCGACGTCGTTGGGGAACTGATGCTTAAGTGACGACCCCCCATCGCCATTGAAGCGACTGGACTGCTGCCCCCCGCCACGCGTTGCCGAAGCCTCTCCTCAACTTCTGCCTCGTACCCTTTGCAAGCGGCCTTCATCGCGGCACAGCTCCCATGCATTTGAAGGTACTTGTAGTACAGCCGCTCCACGCGCTGGGCAGAAAGAAAAAGTCTCGTGAGTGAATAAAAAAGCGCCGCAATCATCAGCCAATCTTGTTCCTCCCGGTTTGGGTCCACAAAGCGGACCAGCAACACCTGCAGTAAATCTTCCCGCCGCATCTTTTTCTACACGCTCCGGCCGACACAACTCCCCTTTTCTCTTTCTCTCCCTTTCTCTCTCTTTCTCTCTCTGTGTGTGTATGTGTTTTGTTCTTGTCGCTCTTTCTCCGCCCTCTATCCAAAACTCTGCACAAATATTGACAGCGTGTTTGCCTGCACTTACTTCGCTTCCCTTATCTCACAAACAAGCAAGCAGCAGCAGCATACATATATATATATATATATATATATATATATATATATATAAGAGATGGCACGAAAGAATGTTAAACACGCAGACACACACATGTATACATGTACACAGATCCGCACCCCACACCCAATAGAGAAAGAGTTCATGCCTCCACAATTTCTCGTGGGTCATGGACTCGGCGCCCACACCTTTTAAGCGCGAGAAAAAAAAAGAATAATGCGCGCTCACACGGAAAGAGAAAGAAAGATAAAGAAAGAAAGCGAAATACCACCCATCATCAACAGGAGCAATAGTCCCCACGCTTCCCAGCATTCTTTGCACTCTCCTTCACTCAGTCCTGTTTGTTCGACGCCCCCAAATCCACTCGAAACACTTCCCGGACGCGTTTCCTCTTCACTGCAAGCGGGTTTGGTCCACGCGCGGATTTTCTTCGAGATCGGCTTGCATTCTCCCCCCTCACACCGTTCTTGCTGCCCGTATCTGGTGTCGCCTTATTCTGCATGGCCAAGGTGGTGTTCAACGTCTTCGACGTACCGCCTTTCGAACCCACCCAAGGACCTTTGTTTGCCCCCACACCAGCGGGCACAAGTTCCGCCGAAAGGTGTCGCATGAAGGCCACATCTGCCGCAGAAAGCGTTTTCCCTCTCGTGGGCACGGACGCATCATGGAGAGGGGTGTTTTTGGCACCGCCCTCACCGTAGTGAAATGCATCGCCATTTTTTTCAATCCACAACGCCGTGGGTAATGTTGTGAGGCGGATGAGGGCGGCGTTGCCTGGCAAAAGCCGGCGAACGTCATGCGACTGCGTGGCAACAAAAAAAAAGTGTGCATTTTTTCTTCCCTGGGCCGTGCGTGTTGGAGGGCCCTCCTTTGACCCTGCCGCCGCAAGAAACCGAGCAATTGCCTTGGCCTCATTTTTATTGGCTGAGACATCTTCGCCCCTGATGCACTCCAACCCTTCCAAAAGCGACTCCACCACCGAAATAAAATGTCGGCTTTTCTTATGTATTTCCAAGGAATTCAGCTCCTTTTCATTTCTCTTCCTTTTCCTTGTCGTCGCGGCATCTTCCTGCTCTTCTTCTTGCCGCTGCTGAAACATGCGACGGAGCATCGTGGCCGTTTCCAGTAGATAATAAACTGAGAGATTTAAGTCCTTGGGTTTATTTATCCGAGTACTGCCAGAAGACCTGCTGCCGTCTTCCTCCCGCGATACATGAGACGTTGCGGCCGAAAAAGTGTCGTACATAAGTGCCCTCAGTGCCTGCGCCGGTGAACCTTCACTGCTGCCCTCAGCCAGTAAAAAGGCGCGCATAAAAGAGGCATCACAGAGAATGTTGTACGAATCCAGCCGAAGTCCATGTTCGGCGCTCAAGAGCCTAAGACGACTCTTGTTTGCGTGTGCACGCAGCACCCTTCTCTTCATGATGCGTGTGTGTGTGTGTGTGTGTTTTCGCCAGCGAGCAGGAGCTCAGTGGGTGGGGTGGGGTAGCAGTGTTCCAGCGCGGTGGCTCTGGCTGGAGGCGGACGAAGCACACATATCGGAAAAGGAGCAAAAAAAAAAAAGAAAAAAAGAAAAATCAGAGAGAGAGAAAAGAAGGAGGAATGCGTTCAAGAGATAAGAAATTCTACTTTTGTAGGGGATATTGAACGGCACCAGCCGGAAGATGCAATGATGTTTACAAAATGCAATGCAAGCAAAGTCTGCCATGTTTTCCTCAAACCCGTTCCTCCTCCTTCTTCCCATTTTGTTTTTGTTGTTGTTATATCTTCTCTACACAATTCACCATCTCTTTGTTTGACTGCCTCTATTGCTCGAAGCCTCAACTTATTTTAAATTTTTGTATTATACTCGTTTTTTGTTGTTGTTGTTTTTTTTTTTTTTATATATATTGTTATTTTGATTATCATTCTCATTATTCCTCTCTTGCCCCACTCACCCTCCGTCTTTCTTTTTTTTGTTTTGTTTTGTTTTCATGTCGCCTCGCCCACTTTGTCCCATTTTTGTTGTTCCTACCGCAAGTTGTGCGGCCCGCAGTCACACCTCCGTTTGCTTTTCTCCTTTTTCTTTTTTTTCCTTTTCTTTTTTTTTTCTTTTTCTTTGATTTCTTGTTTTTTTTTCGTTGTTGTCTTCTTCTTCTTTGACCGCCGCCCCATTTCCCTGCCAAAGCATGCGCCCAATTCACCGCACCGACACGAGAGGGCGCACCCCCAAAAAAAAAGACTTCTTTCTTCTCGCCCTGCATCCGTGTGTGGATCTGTTTGTGTGTGACTTCCGCCCTCTCTCTCAGTCTCTCTCTCTCTCTCTCTCTCTCTCTCTCTTTGCGTGGTGGTGGGGGAAGTGTACACTCATCGCTCATCCATTCACTCCACTCGTCGCCGACGCCTCACTTCCGTCACCCTCTCGCTGTCACTCGGGGAACTGCACTCCGAGTCGCTGAACTGCGTGGCCCGGTGCACCACCGCCCTTGCGAATGCCGCGATGCCGCCCAAATACCCACGAGCAGCGCTGCGCTTCCGTCGCCGGTGCCATCGCCCCCCACTCCCGCAAAAGTCATCCTCGTCAAAGGCGTTGGCATGAAAGGAAGATGCCACATCGTCATCGTCATCACTGTTTTTTTTACTGTAGCGGAATGGCACGCCCGTTTCACTGTGGCGATCCTCTGCACCGTGGGCGGGAAAAGACACCGCCAATCCGCCTCTGCATGCATCTTCAGCTATCGTGTTCCTGCCGTTGCCTTCGACACTGACAGCACTCATCGGTGGCTCCGGCAAAGAAAAGTTCATGGGGTTAATCTCAGTGGCATTCTCCTCATTTTTGACGTTATCCGACGCCGTGGAAGAAGAGGGTCTCTGACTGCAAACTGTGAGGGTGCCATCTTCTGAAGTGAACACAGGTGCGGCGTGATCATTATTATTACCATTACCATTATTAGCAGTAGTAGTCGCAGTAGCAGTAGTGATACCAGCCGTGGTGGCATTGACGACAGGATTCGCATCCATTTTATTTGCGGCACCTGCATCTGGCATGACCAAGGCCTGACGCCATTCGTCCAAAGAAGTCGGGCCACCTAGAGATGGTCGGAGGGACGACGGTGCGCCTCCGCCCTCACTGCGTAAGTGGGCGCAAGGTGATGTCTGCTTGGAACCTGCAGTGCTTCTGTTCCCGCTGGTCAGGCATTGCTGCAGCAACTCTTTAGTATTCATGGCGCGCTGACGAAGCTGCCCAATGTGCGTTAACCAGCTCCGCAGCTCCTCCAACTCTGCGTCAATTTGTTTACGCCGTCCCATATGTTCCTCCGCCGTGGGGTCGTAGTTGTCCATATTTGCGAGGAGTTTTTCAATTGACTCTGCTTCATCAATACGGATGGAGCCAAGACGACTAATACGGCTGCGCATCGTCTCCACGCGGCCCAATGTGTCGTCGCACATTTTCAGTAGCAATGTAATCAAATGCGTACTGTCCGCCAATTCACCGCCCTCTTTGCTGCCGGAAACGTCACCGTCCTCTTGGGAATGTGTCCCATTGAGCCTGCAAATAATACCTTCTGCCTTTGTTGCTATATGCATATCCCACTGCTTATACAACTGTGAGATTCCATCCTCTAGCGTGGTCTGAAGCTGAAAGACGGGTGCCGTGACAATTGGCATAAACGCACCACCAGAGTGGCGTTGAGGAAGCGGTGGTAGTAAAAGCTGCTGTTTCTCCTCTTCAAGAACCTCAAGCAGACGCCTCCGACGTCGTTGAAAGTCCTGAAAAATACTCGCAAATGCCTCGACCTTCTGCAACGTCTGTCTACACTCCGCTAGATCCATATCCACCTTGGCACGTCCCCTCTGCATGTTCGCCGTGTTAAATGTGGGACTCACTGCGTTCGCCTGGGACTGAAACGTAAACGTATCTTTCGTGTTGCCCAAACTCAATGGGACAGACCCTTTTGCGGCAGCGGCAACAACACCGTTCTGTAGCTGAGCAAACTGGTGTAAACATGCCTCGCATTCACTGAAGTGTTGCTGAGCACGTAGGCGTGCCTGTGTATATTTGGCTAGAGCCTCCATCATGGATGAGATGGCCATCTTTTCCTCTGGAAAAACAAATGCCGCAGAAATATATACGCGAAATGCATCCACCCATGAATCCAAAGAGAATTGTGAAGCCATTGAAGAAGCCCCTGCAGGGGAAATGGAATTCATGCCCATCGGCAGGGCAGCAGCGCCGCAGCCATGCAAACTCAACTCTCCCTTCTCACCAGCAGCCGTTGTCATCGTTGACATCCTCCTGCGCCGATCGGCCTCTCCTCCTGCGGAGCCCAAAGCGGGCGTGTCTTCTCTCTGTGCGAAGGGGAATGCAAGACGCACAGTTCCAACCCCAGTGCTCTCGTTGGGTGGTTTTGCGGGTTGTGCGACCAATGACGGCGGCCCATCCACCCGCGGGTCGCCCCACAGCGAGGGGGCAGGGGAGGACCAGCCGTGCATCGCAGTCAATCTGCGGAGCAAAGAGGAATCTGAGCAAATGACGGGAACCGTAAAAAAGGCACACCGCTAAAAGCAATCAAATTGGTATCACAGACCTGTAGGAATGAGAATGGCTACCAGTGTGAAGGTGAGAGCAGGAAAAAAAAAAAAAAAAAAAGTAAAAAGGGTGATCCAAACCAAAGACGCAAAGAAAATTTAAAAAAAAAGATAAGAGACAAATGTGTGGATGTTATCCACACAATTTCAGTGCATTATTCTTCTTCAAGTCGCTAACTCAAAATTTTATGTGCAAACATGCGCCCCCGTCGTTTGTAACGCTCTCTCTTCGAAGGAAAATGTCCGAGTGGTAGGAACGCCGCAACCCCGTCTGCGGTGCCACCGGCGATGGTGCAGTCGTATCACCGGAGCCCACTTTAGCACCAGACATGCCAACTGCGGCAACCGGCGCCTCCATATCAACACGCACTGGGCTGCGTGATTTGACGCGGGAAAGGAAGAAGGGAGAGGTGGTGGTTGTGGTGTGGAGTAGACTGTCATGACAAGTCGTCTGGGTCTCTTCCCCTGCCTCGATACGTGTTGGGGTGGTGATTTTCATCGTAGGAGGGGCGGCATTCACATCCACAGGCGTCTATAGTTGATCCGCACGACAACTTGTTTCTTTGGCTCCCATCCCTTCTGCCGGCATGGTCGCTGCGCCACAACCCGGTAATGTAGATTGCTCCTCCCCCAGAGCATGTCGGTAAATTGCATGCATATGCCCCAGCTCTCGCAGTGCATTTTCCCGATACAACTCGGCGCGTGCCCGCTCCTTCTCCGCCACCTCCCTTTGCAGGTCGGCAATACGTTTGCCAGCACTGCCGCCGTCGTCATCATCCGCATCCCGCGAGTGATGACGATTCGTCGCCAACGCCGTGTTCATGATCGAGGCCATTGCGGCACCAGCAGCCTGCTTCTCCTTTTCGCGGTGCAGCAGAGCCAGTTCCTCCACGGTGTGCCGAACATGCTCCTTCCAACGCCGTCGCTCCGACTGCGCAAGTGTGGACTCGTAAGTCTCTCCTCTCGTGGGGTGCTGCGCCGCTGCTGCTGCGGCATCCGCTTTGTTCTGTTGCTGCATTTTTTCCAATTCGTCCTGAAAATACCTCTTGGCACTTCGTTCAACTTCCCTCACGCACTGGAGAATCTGCTGCTGCTGCTGCTGCCGATTATGGTTGTGTTGGTGGTGCTGGCTGCTGTCGGTGCTGAAACCGCCGCAAAACCGCTGCCGCATCCGTCGCTCGGATCCTTCCAGCAACGCAATACGAAATAATCCGTTCTCACATTCCAACTCTATGATGCGGCGCAGTAAATGCTCCGTGCAGCAGCAGTTAGGTAGACGCCATGCCTCGCCCATACAATCGTTTGTGTGGGCCGAGGAAACAAGAAAAGTCTCTTTGCACTCCCTCCTTTCATCGACGATACAGGCAGAAGGAAAAAAAGGAGCAGGTGGAGTAAGAGGGGTGAATGATGACACGCCAGCCGCTGTCGTAGCGGTAAACTTTGATGTGGTCTCTCTCGGTGCCCTCTCACGCCCCAATGACACCTGCCGATACGACGTTAAGTCGGCTTGGCATATCCCCTCATCAGTGCCCACAGTGTCCCTCTGGACAAGATGGTTTCCTCGATAAAGAGAGTGCGGCAACATCCTTCTACACACACCCTCTCCTTCTCTAAAATTCCACGCGTTAGCACCCACAATTCACTCGCACGCTCTCACCCCCTTCCTCTTTTCCCCTCACTACACCCAAACAGCACCAAATCGCACGAAATAAGAGGCAACAACAACAGCAAAAAGAAAAGAAAAAAAGAACGTGGCACAACAGCGTCCAATGGCGCGATGCGCCGTTCATGTGGACAGACTAAAGGAAAAATATATAGACATAAACACGTATGCATGGGGAGAAAAAAAAAAAAGAAAAAAAAAACACCATGCGCACACAGGTAGATGCAAATATTATACAAAAATAAAAAGAGAATGTGTTGTTCTCCCCTCATGCTGTTACGACTCTGGGCCGCCGCAAGGTAACAGAAAAAGAGGGGAAGAAAAAACACAGACGTGGTTGACGCAATTGCGCGTATCCCGTGTTCCGCCGTTTCGTTTTTCACAGCGTCCCAACCCCTCACGTCAAACAGGACAATTGGCAGCGGGCACTTGGCGGCAAAAAAAAAAAAGGGCGCAACAGTAAGCAGGCAAACCCTCATTTAACGGCGCCGCACCTTATGGGAACAATAAGGCGTCCTCGCATCCGTCTGCACTCTCTCGGGCGCCAGGATTTATGCCGGCCCAGCTCGCGGGAGAGGGGGCGCAAAAACCTGCACGCATGCCTGTAGGCACGCATGACACCTTTGAGGAAAAAACTCTTTTTATTATTTGTTACAGCTTGCGCAGCTGTCCTCTAATAAAAAAAGAAAAAAACATGTAAAAAGAAAATGCCTTTCATTACATCCTACACCATTGGAAGGCAGAAGACATAGAGATAATCGGTCTCACTCTACCTGTATGTGTGCGTCTGTGCGTAGAAAGGGGAAAAAAAAAAAAAAAGGCAAAAGTAAAGAAAAAGCAGAAGAGTGCGCCAAAAACATATATATATATATATATATATATATGCAATGTCCATTAGAAATAAACACAAGAAGGCAGCAACTACAACAACAACAATAAAAAATAAAAGCGCATGACTGCGGCCCTGACCCCCATTCCTACAGAAAAAAAAGAAAAAGAAGAGACAACATCCCCTACAAAACACACACCTCAGAGAGGATTCACCGCGCATGCATACACTACCATTAAAACGCACGCATGCAAAAGGCATACGCCACCAGCAGCCGGGATCTCTCGTTGCAAAGTCACGGGGTGGCAGTCTTTGAAAAAAAACCCGCAACCGCCAGCCTCCCCCTCCCACGTGGTGAGGGAGGACGGCAGCAGGGAGAGGCAACGAAATAAAAGGAACGGCACTCGCTGCCTCCCCGGCGTGGTATCGATGGGAAATAAAAGTCAATAATAAAAGGAAGCAGGGCGGCTAAACAAAAATACGCTTATTTATTGTAGCATCATCTGGCCTCACATATATTTCCAGAAATATTCCCTTCTGCTGCTGGCCGGACCCTGGATTTCTCTATGTAAACAAAATAGGATGGGAATAAGAAAGAAAAGAAAAAAATAAAAAAAGAAAGGTGGGGAGAATCAATCAAAAAAAAATAAAATAAAATAAAATAAAACGGTGGTAAAACAAAAAACATAAAATAAATAAATAAAAAACATTCGTCTCGCCACGATCGGTTCTTTTGACTCACTTCTATCGCAGTCAGCCAAATATTACTAAAGATAGAAGAAGAAAAAAAAAAAACATATATATATACAGAGAGATATACATATATATATAGTACAGCAATATAATATAATATATATATACATAACATAACATATATATATACATGATATATATAAATATATAAATATATATATAATCATCTTATCAGGGATATAGATATAAATATAGATAAATATATATATATATATGAACATAGATAGTCCCGCCCTTCTTGCGGACACGCCCTTCACAAGCCCAGCCGCAAAGGCATCTGAGACTCGTACACTCCCAAAAAAAAGGGAAAAAAGAAAGTAACACCACAATGCCACACACGCACACAAAGAGAGGGACAGAGAGGGAGAGAGGCGCACAGTTGTATGCATTTTATGTGTCCGCATGCATGTAATCACCTCATCGGTGTGCATGTCTTTTTGTTTTTGTTTTCATGTTTCAACCACGTCCTCCTCCTAACCTCTATTCTCTGTCTCTCTCTTGCCGCTCCCCACGGCATAACTTCACTTCAACCCACGAAGGGAGGTGCTCAAAATAATAATAATAATAATAATAATATCCAAAAAAAAAAAAAAAAGCCCGTGCAGAAAAAAATATATAGATATATATACATATATACATACGAAATTGCACGGCGACAATATATATTTGAAAGGAAACAAAAGTACCAATAATAATAAATATAATAAAAGAGTTGAATTCAACATAAAGCGTCTTTAAGAAAAAAAAAAAGAGAGATAAAAAGAAGAAAACCCATATGTTTATGTTATCATCGCAAAAAATAAAATAAAAATAAAATAAAATAAAATAAAATAAATAAATAAATAGAAGTAATAAGACATAGGCCCGATAGAAAAATTAAAAATAAAAATAAAAATAAAAATAAAAATAAATAAATATGAATGAAATGGTTTTAATTAAACTCATGAACGTCGGCCACGTTGCTGGACGTCATTGCCCGCATGCATGAGTAACAGCAGCAGCAGCGGTTCTGGACTGTTTCATTTAGACTGCACATCAAATTATGGCTCAATGGCATCAAAGCGCTCTAGCCTGGATGCATACTCACATGCGAGAGAGAGGGAGAGAGAGAGAAAGAAAGACCATAACATACACAAACGTGCATGACTGCAGGCATTCCTTCCTATTGGCTTTCAGTAAACATCATCTTTCCCTTCTCTACACCCCCTCTGCTGCAAGTGCAGTTGTAATCCTCCCCCATCCTTGACTTCGTCCTTTGATTGTTGGCGCTTCACATATTGCCGTTGTTTTAGCCCCTTTTCTTATTTATTTTTATTTTTTCTTTTTTTTTTTTTGTACGTGCTTCCTCCTTCCGCATGGCTGTCATTTCATTGATATTTTTTTATTTCTTTTGATCCATCCTGTCGATAGTTTCTCACTCCGCACTGCAGCAAAATTGTTGTCGGACCTTCTCTAGTGCCATTCGCTGCGCCATCCTCCGTGCCTCTGTGTACCCCGGCAACTGTCTGTAACGGCCCAGCTGTGCCCGGTCCGTATTCCCGGATGTCTGTGTCGTCATCGCCATCGACTCCTCGTGCTGAATCGCGTCAGGCTTCTTGCACGACGCCTCTCTCCTCCTCCTCCTCCGTGTGTTCGTGTCAGCATCCACACCCGCATCTTCACCACGCACAAATACCGTCACAAGTTCCGTCTCTGTCGCAGCATCCCTGTCGGATTGAAATGAGGCCCCAACCTCTGATGATGAGGATGAAGGTGAAGACGATATGAGGTTTAAAAAATGCAATAAAAGTTCCTCCTTCACCCTGGCGTCCATACGGAGTGGCGACGCGGACAAGTCCATTCCAGGCATGCACTGCGCAAAACTTCTCTCTTCGTTTAGGTCCGTCGTATCGTTTGGCAAAACACTCCCCACATGGGACGGATGCAGCGAGCGTTCGTGACCAGAAGCCGTAAAATTTTCCAGGGAGGCAGTTAATGGAAGGCAAAACCCCTTTGCTTCTTGATGAAGAGCCTCAGGTAAGAAAACAGCACTTTTTTCTGCCTGTGGCACCGCTCCCGCTTCCTCTTCCTCACGTTCCGCTGGTTGCCGGGAGCAAAGAGACTGCTGCTGCAACTGCTGCTGGCGACGACGTCCACCGGCCCACACAACAACTGAACCACCATCCGTGTTAGGCCTAAAACATCCATCGAGGAAAGGGAGCCTTGTCTCCGCCGCGGTGATAGAAGGAAAGAGACGGGCACTCTCAACGTCGCTGGAAAACAATGGACCATCGGTGCCATTTCCTGACGCAGAGACCTTCGCTGCCTCCGGCGTCTTTAAAGCCCCCGATGTTTCCACTGAAGAACGGACATGAAGCTCAAAATGCTTTGGATCGGTCCTGTAGGGTCTTCTGCTGCTGTGCGGTGACGCGAAGCCACAGTCCGGTACATGACGCTTTGAATCCCTCGGCGAGGTGAAAGATGCCAGCGCATCATGTTTCGCCGACGGGCTCCCCACGTTACGTGCCGATGCGGGTTTCCTGACGTAGGCGGTTGGTCGGGATGATTTTACAGGAGACACAGGGACCTTCTTTGCCTCATATCCCATTTTTTTTTCCTTCGCTTCTACGTTGTTCACATCCCCCATCATTTTTTTTTCTCTCTTTTTTTCCCCCTCTCTCTCTTCCTTCTTGCCAGCCCCCCTATGTCCACAGCCCCTCACGATGTCTAGTGAGGTGGGTGACAGGGGAATTGATAGTGAAATCCACCGGCAACGAGTAGTGGTCACGGTAACAGCAAGTTGGTTTATATATATATATATATATCAAAAAATAAAAATAAAAACAATTACGTTTTTCTGTCTGTCTGTCTGTCTGTCTCTGGATGTGCGTATGTGTTTTTGTCGCGGGGAAGGAATCCGACAAACCAAGAAAAATGACAAACGCACACAAAGCGTGTAAACTGAATATATAGATAAATAAATAAATAATGTGATGTAAACCCCCCCTCCGCCCCACACCTGCTTTTCTTATTCTTCTCTCGTTGTATGTGTCGTCGCCTCTTCTTCTTCTTGTATGATCCTTTTCCTTATTTATTTATTATTTTTTTTTATTTCTGCCTCTTCCACCTTCTTATCCCCCACACACCCCACGCACTCTCTTTGTTAACAGCTGCCGTGTCCTAAAGAGCAAGTACGTGAATAAGATAAAGAGCGTACAGGTGTGTGTACTCCTTCTCTTCCCTTCTTTCTTTTTGTATTCCACGCCCTCCCCCCCGCCGCCCTCCCCTTTAGAAACAAACAAACAAATAAATAAATAAATAAATAATAATAAAAGCAATGTACTTCAAACTGAGAAAAAGA